TATATATTTGGGATGAATTTTTCCAGGCATGGACTTGCCTTACTTATTTGTATTGTAATGAGTTATCTGGACATGGATCTTGTCAATATTATTTATATTTGGGGATAATTATACCAGGGCTGGATTGGCCTTATACGGTACTTGGTGACTGACTGTCACTCGATGTAATACCCCTGGGTTGGATTGGCCATAAACAGTACCGAGTGGCCGGATAATTTGTGACTAGTATTTACATGAGGTCTTTCTACTGAGATGTTATATGCCTCATATCATGCAGTATTGATCTATTTCACTTGTACTGAGTTTAACTGTTGAACTTGAAAGCATGCCTACATTTCTGTACCATTATTTTTACTGGACTGTACCTGCAAAGGTCATCATTTCTTTCAGCCCAGAGGTTAGTCTTGTTACTTATTGAGTTAGTTGTACCCATACTACACTCTGCACCTCGTGTGCAGATCTAGGTGCTCTCGGATACGACGACTGCTAGAATTCAGAGTTATTTCTGTTGGAGAGTATCAAGGTAGCTGCTTGACGACCGCAGACTTGATTCCCTTCCTGTTTAGTTATTGTACTGTTCTATACTTCAGACAGTGATGTTTATCAGTCAGGCTTTGTATTCATTTAGATGCTCATGTACTCAGTGACACCGGGTTTTGGGAGTGATATATTTGAAAATTTTGAGATTTCTTCAGCTGAATTTAGTTATTTCGTTTTCAAATTTAAAAGAAATGGTGGTTTATTGGGATTTTTGGCTTTCCTGGTATTTAGATAGGCGCCATCACGATATGTGAGATTTTGGGTCGTGACAATCTCATAATTCTTTTGAAGTATTCATCGCACTGTACACATTGTACAAGTCATCCTCTAAAGCGCTTAAGATATAGCCTTTGCAAAGAAAATCTACATTTTGCCATGCCTCAACAATCATGAATTTTTCGTTGTCCGGCATGTCCGCAGCAGGCACTGGAGGTTCTTCACTAGTGAATTTCTGCATGCCAAGTGTAGTAAGCCAAAAGAACACCCTTTGCTGCCATCCTTTGAAGTTGGCTCCAGAAAATTTCTCCGGTTTCTCGGCCGGTGGAACATCAGTTCGGCTTGACGAGGCTATCGTCGTTGCCACAACAGTCGCAGAAGGATTTCAGTTATCAATTGCTATTTCTCACTGTCAATAACAGAAGAGTTCAATTAATGATAGAAAACAGAACAGTAAACAATACTGTAATTTACAATAAATAGTACGTTTAATAAATAAAAAACCAAAGTTTTTATATACCGTTTTATAGAAAACGATGAAGTTTTTATGTTCTTCAAATCGTTTTTGAATTTCAATACTCTGATGAAATTTTTAAATCTTCAAATCAGAATAGTAAAATTCAGAAGGAGTAGAAAACCACACAGGTTTTAATCTCCACAAACAGAATATAGAATACAATAAATTAATTTCCTTGAGATTGTTATTCAATCTGTATTGTTGTAATAAACGATAAAAACATTAAACTTTCTGAAATAGAAATAGAAATAGAAAGTTAGTAAAACCAGTTTGACGAAATAAATTCTAAAAAATAATATCGAAATAAATCGAGCCCACTGAATGCACAGTGTGTACTTAAGGAAATTATTCCCCTCAAGTACCCGAAGTGCTGGAATATTATCCTCCCAGGATAGAACGATTCAACTCACTAGTGTATTAGTACCAAAAACACAGGTAAACTTCAAACCACTCAATGGTCGTAAAACATACTGAAAAAATATTGTGTAGAAGAAGAAGAAGATAATCAAAAAATTTAGTAAGTAAAGATTCTGGGATTCAAGGCATATTTAAAGACTATCTGGCACTGTTTCTGAAAAGGTTTGCAACCTTTCAGAAACAGCCATAACTGTTGGAATAGGTGGGAATATTTCAACAGAAATATTGCGGGAAAACAAAAAATGGATTTAAAATAATCCGGAAAAGAAAACGAATCCGGGTTGCGTCGCGGGTCCTGGGTTAATCCGGAATGAATTTTTGTTAATTAATTAATTAATTAATTGAAAGGAATTTTATCCAAAAAGATTAATCAATCAATCTTTGACCAAATTCGAAGCCGAAGCTGAAGCCGAAGCCGAGCCGAGCAAGCGACGACGGCGACGGCGACGGCGCGAGTCTTGCCTTCTTCTTAATTCTTTAAGAGCTAGAAGAAGAGCAATTGTATATATACCCATCAAAAGTCTTTTCTTCTTCCAATATGGGACAATGTCCCTTTGCCAAGGAGAGAAACTCAAATATTTTATTTTTCCTCCATTTTTCATTCACTCTCTTTAAGCTACACCAAACTTAAAAGCCCAACAATCCCCCACATGAATGGGGAATGGCTATAAAATAAAGGAATGCATGGACGCGTGTGTGTTTTACATGCACAAATTAATTGCATCTGGATAAGTAGATTTTTCTTTGAACTTTCCGTAGTGAACTTATATCGGATATACTCGGTCAATCGGTAGATTTAATATCTTTGAACCGTCGAGCTTTGTTGTATACCTAGACAACATAAGTCACATAATTAACCCTTAAGTGTGCTTGGAGTTTTAACACAAAAGCAATATAAAAAATATTTACATAATTTCTTATTTTACACAATTATTATTTATTAGGTAAATACAAGTAAATTCAGAGTCCGTAAATACAATTATTTTTTCGAATGATTACTCAACTATTCAAAATTACCTAGTAAAGTCATATTTATTTTGTCTTTAATAGAAAAGACATTTTTATTCTCTTTCATTCTGGATTGTATAAATAAATTTTTGAGTTTTTGTTGTTATTATCAAAATTATATATACGACTAAATTATTCTAATTAATTTTTTATTGTGCTTTATTATTATATTCATCAATTTCATATGCTTAAGCTCTTATTTTATAACTCAAATATAATTTTAATATAATATTAATGTGATTTTAAAAAATACTCATTGAAATAAGATACATGCACAACACGTATACTTTAAGGAAAGAATGACAGAATTAGAATATTTTAGTGCCATTATTGATTTTTTTGGCTCCGCTAATAGAAGTTTGGGAAAAAATCCCACACTAGAATTTTAAAGTTCGCTCAGCGGGATTTTTCTCAATCTTTTAAAGCACACTGACAGAAATTTTAAGGATGTAGCAATTATGGTGATTGTTAAAATTTTGCGAATTATCAGAAATTTTTAGTATTTTGGTCGAAAATTCTAGTGATCGTCACAATTTCTGGTGCTTCAAAATTTTGGCACTAAAAATTCTGGTGACTGTCAGAATTTTTGTGCATTAAAATTCTGGCGAGCGTGTTTTAAAATTTGGCTATTTTCCCAAAAGTTTTCTTAACGGGATCAAAATATAATTAGTGGTTTATAAAAAGAAATCCATCCAGCGTAATTTTTAATAAGAGTTTAAATAGAGGGGTGAATGGACTGAGCTTGTTCCAGTAGCATTTGACAGATTAATAAGACAAATTCACCAAAAAGTCAGCAGCCCAATTACAATTTAATACAGTTTATATTTATGTTTTTTTATTTTTTTCGTCGCGACTACTAGCAATTTTAAAAATTAAGCCCATATTAGATAGAAACGCCTCCCCCGCATTTCCTGTATAGATAATTAGATACTCAGCAATATTGCGCTGCCGCTCCCCTGTTTCTCTTTACCTATTTCTTCGTCAAGTTCCTTATTCTCTAACGGAATCTAATTGTAATTTTTTTTGTTATCAGTATTTTCTCTTTCTTCGATATCTGTTCACTTTGATTTTTGATTTTGCTTTGGTAACTTTTGATTTTGAGAGTTCCATAGTGATTAGAAATTTAAGAAATCAATACCCTCTGTTTTATAGTAAGATATGCCTCCAAAACGTAGGAAAATAAAACAATCAGACACAAGTCAGGAGTCAATTGTTGATGAAGATATAATCACTAACTTGCCAAGGAGCGTAATAGATTGCATTTTAGGGAAAATGCCTATACGTGAAGCGGTAAGAACGAGTGTTTTTTCAAAGAAGTGGAGATTTTACTACTTAACTATTCCGGAGTTGGTTTTTGATGACCAGTTCTGCAAAGAACTTCAAGACTATGCTGCCACCCAGAAGAAATTGCGTATGTTATCTGAATATGAGCTCGAGTTAAAGTACCAATTTGACGAAATTGTTACCAAGTCTCTTATGCTTCATCGTGGTCGAATAGAGACATTTAAAGCGTGCATTCCTAGTTTCAATTCAACAAGGGTTCCTAATGTGAACAAATGGATTTTGTACTTGTCTCGGAAAAATATCAAGAAATTAACCTTAGAATACAAGAAGGATATTGTACGTCATAAGTTACCTCCTTATTTCTTTTCTTGTCTAGATTTGACTGTTATAAATCTGTATTGCTGTAATAAACAATTAAACTTTCTGAAATATATAAACAAAATGGAAAGTTAGTAATACTTGTCTAACGAAATAAATTATGGAAAAAACAGTATAGGAATAAATCGAGCCCACTGAATACACAGTGTGTCCTTAAGGAAATTATTCTCCTCAAGTACCCTAGGTGCTAGAATATATCCTCCTAGGTTAGAATGATTTAACTCACCGGAGTGATGGTACCAAATGCCGGTGAACAGCGAACCACTCGAAGGCTGTAAAATACACTGGATTTTTTGTGCAGAAGAAGAAGAAGAAGAAGAAGAAGAATAAACTCAGAAAATTTCGTAAGGAAAGATTCTGGGATTCAAACTCTATTTATAGAGTTGCTAGCATTGTTTCTGAAAAGGTTTACAACCTTTCAGAAACAGCCATAGCTGTTGGAACAAGGTTGTTTGAAATATTGCGAAAAATGGATTTAAAATTATCCGGGAAAGAAAACGGGCCTGACCGGACTGGGTCGCGGGTCATGGGTTATTCCGGATTGAATTTTTCGTTAATTATTTAATTAATTAAATAAATAATTAAAAGAAATTTTATCCAAAAAGATTAATCAATCAATCGATCTTTGACCAAAATACAAATTCCGAAGCCGAAGCCGAGCGAGCGACGACGACGACGACGGCGCGAGGCTTGCCTTCTTCTTAACTCTTTAAGAGCCAGAAGAAGAGCAATTATATATATACCCATCAAAAACTTTTTCTTCCTCCAATATGGATAATATCCCTTTGCCAGGGAGGGAAACTCAAATATTTCACTTTTCCCTCCATTTCTCATTCACCCTCTTTAAGCTACACAAGCTTAAAATCCCAACATTGACATACTTGAAGCTCCGTAAATTTGATGTCTCGCCTCCGCCACCAGAGTGTAAAGGCTTCCTATATCTCGACCAATTAGTGCTTATTGGTGTTTACTTTGCAAAAAATCTGTTTTGAAAGTATTCTCTCCAGTTGCCCTGTGCTTCAGAGGCTAGAGTTGCATTTGTGTGCTGGTATTCGTCATGTTAATATCAGTGGTTCTAAACTCAAGAGGTTGCACATAAAGGCCTATGATAAGTATGAATCAATCTCCTTAGAAAATGCTCCTAACTTGACTGAAGTTTCTGTTATGCTGGACAGAGTTGTAACAGGCTCGGAAAAGTTGTAATAGGCTTTACTTTCATTCCCCTTGAAGCGGCTTACACTTCACACTCACATAGGTGATTTCTAAACGTGTAATCCTATAGACACACTATCTGGTCATATCCTGCCAGACTTAGCAAATAATTAAAAAACCTTTAAACTTTGTTGACTCATCAAAAAGCCTTAATGCTTTACCTCGATTTCTGAACATTGTCTTCATCACGAGAATGGGTTGAGTTATTTGACAATGTTGAACCGTCATTCATAACTTTGTTTGATCTCTTTGAACCTAGCTCGTGAGAGCTCCGGTCTGCTAGGTAGAGTTACCGCCATGATGACTTGTCCTAGACCTTAATCCCATTCCTTTTGATGATCTTTCAACTGCCTCTTTAGATAGGCCTTTTGTAAGTAGATCCGACACGTTATCTCTTGACTTTACGTAGTAAATTGTGATAACACCACTAGAGAGTAGTTGTCTAACGGTATTATGACTCCATCGTATATGACGAGATTTTCCGTTATACTTAATGCTCCATGCCCTGCCTATTGTCGCTTGACTATCACAATGTATACAAATAGGTGCCAAAAGTTTGGGCCAAAATGGAATATCTGCCAAGAAATTCCGGAGCCATTCAGCTTCTTCACCGGCCTTATCTAAAGCTATGAATTCAGATTCCAATGTAGAACGGGCGATGCATGTTTGTTTGGATGATTTCCAAGACATTGCTCCACCCCCAATTGCGAAAACATATCCACTCGTGGATTTAACTTCAGATGATCCAGTGATCGAATTTGCATCACTATATCCCTCGATCACGGAAGGATATTTGTTATAATGCAAAGCGTAATTTTGGATATGTTTGAGATACCCCAAAACCCGTTTCATTGCCATCCAATGTATGTGATTGGGATTACTTGTAAATCGACTCAGTTTACTAATAGCACATGTTATATTTGGTCGCGTACAATTCATGATATACATCAAACTTCCCAATACTCTTGCATAATCCAGTTGTGAGTCACTTTCACCTTCATTCTTTTGAAGTGCATAACTCACGTCAATTGGAGTCTTGGCAATTTTGAAATCCAAATACTTGAACTTGTCAAGTACCTTTTCAATGTAGTGAGACTGTGATAATGCTAGACCTTGTGGAGTCTTGTGAATTCTGATTCCTAAGATCACATCAGCAACTCCTAAGTCTTTCATATC